CTTCATGCTTCCAGGCTTGCGAAACACTGCTTTAGGGATAACTAGTTGAATAGGCTTGAGATAGAAGGGAGTACTCAAGGATAGATATTATTATTTGGCCTGTGGGATGCCCTGAAAACAGCAAAGGACCACCCCAGGGTCTCTGCCAGTGAAAACAGAGCTCGGGAGGGCTGCATGTGGGCCTCCTGAGCTCCATTTTCGCTGGCAGAGGGTTGCAGGAGGCTGTTGCAGCTGGAAACGGAGCTCTGGAGCCCATTTTTGCTGGCAGAGCGCTTGGGCCACCACAGGCGCTCCCGACACAATTGACGTCGAGCTGGCCACGCCCACTCTGGCCAGGCCCACTACCGCCCGAGGTCAACCACAACCCTGATGTGGTCCTCAATGAAATCCAAGTTTGACACCCTTGATCTATACTGATCTCCTCAACATGGCAAGTTGCTTAATGGCCAAAATAATCACCAACCTCCCCCCAGGGCTACTCACAAACTGCCTTTAAAGTTCCAGCTTTGGCAAATTCTTATTTAATCCCTGTTTTATTGCTTTGGATAACTGACTCACATTTAAGGTGGTTTTGCAGCATCCCGAAGTCACAAAATCACAATTTACAAATGGGTTTTTTTTCCCCGCAGGAAATTCGCTTTTTCTTCCTATTTCTGGCAAACAGAAATGTGGATAATAATGTTTGCTTAACAACCAGCTTGATAATCAGGGCAACAATTGCTGCAAAAAAGGTGGTAAAATTGGTTGTGGTCCCATGGTGATGACCGGCAAAACTTTCAATCTTAATTCCTGACTCAATTATGGTCACAAGATGAGGACTACCTGCACTCAGAGTAAATGTTTAGATTTAGCCCACATACTGCAGATTCCACCTACATCTTAGGGATGTATGTGTAATACAGATAGTCCTCAAGTTATGATCACAGTTGAGCCCCAAATTTAAGTTGCTAAGTGAGTTTGTCCCGTTTTACGACTTTCCTTGCCACATTTGTTAAGTGAATCACTGCAGTTGTTAGATTAGTAACACTGTTGTTAAGTGAACCTGGTTTGCAAGGTGAGAATTTGCACTGCATCTTACATTTGTGATCAGAGTTTCTCCACATCACACTGGTTCCACCAAGTTGTAGTTAAACATGCAGGTCTGCTTTGGCACCAAAATAGCAATAGCAATAGCAGTTAGACTTATATACCACTTCATGGGGCTTTCAGCCCTCTCTAAGCGGTTTACAGAGTCAGCATATTGCCCCCCACAATCTGGGTCCCCATTTCACCCACCTCGGAAGGATGGAAGGCTGAGTCAACCTTGAGCCGGTGAGATTAGAACCGCCAAACTGCAGATAACAGTCAGCTGTAGTACTGTACCCTAACCACTGCGCCACCTCGGCTCTTTTAAAATGGAGCAATGCCACTTTTGTCATCCTTTCCTGAAGTTGCCACCACTTACCTTCTGTTTGAAACCCTTTGGGTGTATCTGCTTTCCTAGCTATCAAAAAAACCCCCATCATTTTTCTGCTTGGAGAAACATTTTCCTCGTTGAGATGTTGGATGGATAGAGACAGAACAGTGTTGTAGTAAACAGTTTGATTCTTTCCTTGCAGTCAATTGGATCTGCCTCAAATTAGGTATCAGCATTAAGGGTAGGTGATAGGCATCAACATTACAAATTCCACTTTTATGTTGGATTATTTCTGGTTTATAAATCTCAGGGATCTTGGCCGAGCGTTAATAGGGTGGCAATCTTTGCATCCAAGAGCTATCAAGCTTTTTACACAAACCTCTCCTCTCCTGGTCCGATAATTATAGGACGCAATCAGTGTCTGATCTAATCTTGTGTAATTGGAAATGTTTCTCTTCTCCCCAAAGCAGCCATGATTGCACTTCAACTGAAGAAACTGTCTTCAGAGAGAATCGTTTAATTATGAGCAGCCGGATATATGGAAGGGGAAGGAGTTTGCAGCCCAGAGTTTTCGCAATTTCAAATTCTTGGGGATGCTGTTGATTGCAAGAGAATCTCAACTGCTGTATTCACTTTCTGGGAAAGATGATTAAAGTGGTAAATGGCCTTGCACCTTTGGAGGCTTCATGCTATCGCTTTAATCCAGCGGCTTTAATTGCTGCCTTTTCTTCTGTTCAATTGTGACCAATTTGAGGAGAGGGCCAAGACAGGTCACTGAGGATTTTTAGAATTAGTTAGCTGTTGTCTCTTAAGGCTGAGAGAAAGTAGAACTTGACTCTCTCCTGGTTTCCTGCCTAATGCATTTAACCACTATACCAAACTGGCTCCATGACCCGTCAAAACCGCGGAGGACAAAATCGCGCTCGACGAAAGCGCGCATGTGACGTCATCACAGCGCGATGAAAAAA